CAAGCCGAAAAGGAACACTCAATTGGAACCCACAACCGGCAAATTTTGGTAATTCTCCCGTTCTAATTACACAACAACAAATTGCATACTGCACTCTGTCTACTGTTCTCTTTTTTCAAACATTCATCTCTCCGTATTTTATTATTTTTAATATATATTTCGTTTATATGTTTATGTAATTAAATAATTTATTTTATATATACGCAAAATGTGTTAATTTATTGCATCAACCAGATGCCGCCGACGAACAAACCCGACCCTTTTGACAACTTGCGAAATGAATAACAAAAACACAAGTGATGGCAAGCAAATGTCAAATTCCACAATGGCATTGCCTCATCACACAAGGTATTGCCAATTGGAATTTATAAAAATGTCATTTAAGTTAGTTAGTAAAGTAAGACACGTAATGCAATGTTGATAACAATAGCTCCCTTCCGGAAAAGCCAACAATCTTTTGCTTTCAATGCTTTTTAACAATAAAACGAGTGAAAGATGTGTAACTTAATACTTAGTACAACTTTGAGAAGTCTTGGAACTGGAAACTAGTAAAAATGTAAAAAATTGATGAAAATCCTTCAATATGAAAAAAAAACTTTTACATTCTTGTAGTTCTGGAAGAGAGCAAATATTTGCAAAACTAATTTAAAGGTGAGGGTACATAAGCAGCTTGGCATCATGGCTAGGCATATTTATGTCTAATAGTAAAAGGAAAGTAATTTGGAAAAAAATGTAAACATATGATCGCATGAATTTACCTTCTTAATTCTACCATGGAACAGACCAACTGTTATTGAGATTTAATTTAAAATGTAATTGAAGTCAATTTGAGAATTTCTTTTGTAATTCGTAATATTTAAAATGTAATTCGAAATGGAAATTGTAATTATTTATGTTTTAATTGTAATGCGAATAATTGCATTTGTAATTCGAGTTGTTCCATTTGGAATTGGAAACAAAACAAAATCGCAAACATTCTTGCATTGGCTTCATAATTGCGTTTTCGAATTACAAAAATGATTCGATTTGCATGTGAAATAATTCGATTTTCGAAAGGGGTAATTCAAAGAAGAAATAGAAAAAATCGAATTATAAATGAAATTTAAGAATTACAAATTGAATTCTCTACTTTTAACTGAAATTTTACAAATTACATATGAAATTCTCGAACTACAAATGAAATGCCACGAATTCCAGTGATAATATTTCGAACTATATCTGAAAAAGGTGTAGTCCCAGTTCTTTTACCATTTCGGCTGCCATCTTGATTGTAAGAATCTCCGCCTTAAAACTCTGCAATTTTTTGAACCTTATGTGAGTGCTTAATCATTGTGTTTGGTCATGGTAAAATTAAGAAAGTATAGTCATTTCAAATAAGCACACCCATCTCTGCATTTTCTGTAACTTACCTTTTCAAATTTCACCGCATAGAAAAAAGGTTCCCATCTCTGAATTGTGTGTATACAATGGTTTTGTTAATATAAATTTTGACAATAAGATTTTGTCGAAAGAATAATTTTGAAAAAAAAATTGTAATCATATGATCGCATGACTTTACCTTAATGATTCTATCATGGTTCTGGGCATAATACCATCACTGGTACCTTCGTTCCAGCATGGAGCCGTCTGTATATATTTGTACGAGGTTACCTTCTTAATTCTACCATATTGTTTTTTTTTCAAGAACAATATTACCATGGTACAATGAAGACAAGGTAGGCTAACTTTGAAAAAATTGCAAGTATAGAGGTCTACCTGTTTGGCTTGTAATGTCAGAATTACTATCAAAACAATAAAAAAGCAAACGACTTGTTGCATTGATTTTGAATAAATAATTTCAAACCGCGAAAAATGAATGAAAGGTCAAAATTTCTGTTCAAAATCATGTTCTATATATCTCTTATGGTTTATTTCGCGACAAAAACTGTAGATTTTGTCGATGCATACGTTTCAATAAGCATTTTGAAAACACCCAAATTTGAATATTTTCTGAACAATTTTTTATTATTGAAAAAATTACGCACGCATAAACAAATGATGTTGACATATTAAGCCAGAAAAATAAAAAAATTAAAATCATATGGTAGTTCTGCCCTACCTTGAATTCATTGTACCATGAATATTACAATGTCTGAAATTCTATATGCCGACTTTTTAATATTAACAAAATGCTTTTTAATTTTTTTCGAAATCACAAAGAGAAAATCCGCTATCGTAGTAAAAAATTGTAAATAAATTTTTACAATCAAATATAAATGTTTGAAAATGTACAAAAGGTTTCCTGGCTTTTAATTGGTTGGCTCATGATAGAATTAAGAAGGTAAAGTCATGTGTGCTTTCAATTTTTTAAAATTCGTAATATGCACTCCACAAGAATGATATTTGGTATCAGATACATCCCAGAAATACCTCTGCCAAATTTTATCAACATCGGTTCAGGTTTAGATATTGCTCCCATATATATCTTCAATGGATTTCGGGTTATTTGTGCACCAAATGGCCAATATCAGTTCAAATAATATGAATTTTGGCACATACAACCGAATTCAGACTAGAATAAAGTACATCAAATTTGGTGAAAATCGGTTCACATATAGCTTTAGCTCCCATATATATGTTTCATCCGATTTGGTGTTTGAGTCCCTCACATGCGTAATATGCATTCGACAACAATGATATTTGGACCCAGATATCTTATAGATCTCGGAAATACCTTTGCAATTTTATGAAAATCGGTTCAGATTTGGATATAGCTCCCATATATATCCTTAATCCGATTTCAGGTTTATTGTGGCTAATATCAGCCCAAATGGAGTGATTTTCTTGAGGTACGTTTCCAGTATGCGGAACTCGGCTGCGATATATATATTTTTATTAAAAATCTTCAGAAAAAATCTTCTCCAAGTGATATCACGTACTCTATAGCAATGTTATTTGGTATAAAAGATAAAAATGTCTACGTCAAATTTATGAAAATCGGTTCAGAATTGGATATGCCTCCCCAATATTAGTACCGTCTGAAAACAAATTATAGCTGCTTCAAAGCCAAGTGTTAATAGGTGGTATCATGGTACAATAAGGAGGTAGAACAGCTTCGTAAAACTACAGAAATACAGCCCTGAGGATATGCACGCTCCCTGTCAAATTTGCATGCCACAAATTGTTTTAATTTTTTCAATATTTTTTCTCATTTTTAAAATCAGCTAAACAGTGGGAAGAACGAATGAAATGCCTGGATTTACTTTCAAAAATATGATCTAGACATTTCTATCTTTCAATTCAATGGCAAAACTGACGAATAGCTTTAATGCGCGTCTCGCAATTTACGCATCTTCCAATCAATGATTTTGAAAATTTTCTGTTTTTATATGTCTAAACAATAAATACATACACAAAATTTGCAGAAGTCGGGCACACTAAGAAAAAATTGTAGTCAGCTGGTAGCTCTACATTACCTTTTTATTGTACCATGGGTGGTATGATCCATGGTACAATAAGAAAGTAGCATGGTAGAAGAATATATGTAGACGCATCGACACAGCTGCTGGGACAATGAACTGTCAAACCAATTTTGGGATTGAAAATGTTGAATGAAAAATTATTTAAATTTGTAAAAATTGTTGAAAAACACGTATTATACTAACCTCCGAATGACGTCGTATAAGAAAACAAATAAAAATTTATATATATTTGAAAAGCCATTTAAAAATTTATGACATATCAATGTTCCCAAGCGTTGATGCATCTACCTGTATTTTTCTACCATGGAAAGTAGAACAGCTTCGTAAAACTGGAAAAATACAGCACTGAGGCTATGCCCGCTTCCTGTCAGAATTACTCAAAACTATGTGCAACAAATGGTTTTCATTTATTTGATATTATTTGTCGAATGAGTCGAAAGATGAATGAATGTCTGGATATTCTCTCAAAGAAATTTATTACAAAGAAATTTATTACTTTTAATTCCGACCATATATTTTGTCATTTTCACGCCATTAGAGGGTAGAAAGTCGAGTAAGAATTTAATCTAAAACATTAAACTGAAATATAAGCCTTTTAAGTCATGTATGACTTGATTACGGAATGTTGTTCAATTGTCAATGTTGATGTAGTCCAACTTAGAAATTTCGGTAACATTCTAAATAGACGTGCTTTACTTGAGTGGTGAATAACGTTGACCAAGTACATTGAATTTTAAGTAGTGCTGCAAGGTTCAATTATGCCAGACACAGGTTATTTCCATGGTACAATGAAATAAAGGTAACCACATTTCAATTTAGCATTCCCATCTCTGATTTTATGTGTATACAATGGATTTTTGAATATTGATTTTGACAATGAGATGTTGTCATGTTGAATTTAAAAAAAATTATAACCATATGATTGCAGGACTTTACCTTCTTAGTTCTACCATAGTTATGAAGATCAAAGATGAATTTAATCTAAAACAGAAAACTAAAAAGTTAACCAGGGGCTGGATTCTTGTTCTATGAAAATATGAAATGAAAAATATTTTCTTTATAAATTTTTTCATTTGACATTTCTTTCCTTTATAAAAGTTTTCATTTCACATTTTCACAGAACAAGAATTGAGGCCCAGAACATGACTTTATTGTGGAATGTTGTTCAATTGTCAATCTTGTAATTTTATACGTTCGACATATTTTGGTAGCATTCATATAAATACATGTGTTTTATTTGAGCGGTGAAAAACGTTGACCGAGTACGTTTAATTTTTGGTAATGCTGTAAGGTTTAATTAAGGCCAAACAAACGTTATTTGATTAACTCAAAGCACTGTGTTGCCATTCACAGAAGAGCAACTGATTATGTTTATTGTGAATGAACTATTATTCATTTGAAACAGCTGTTTTTCAATTTTCTTTTCTCTCGTGCTTTCGTATCGAAAACCCTTATCACACAGTTTGTTTTCCAATCTTCGTAAGTCGGCCTTTTTGTTTTGATTCTACATCTTTATCGCCATCTGCCCCGACTCCTATTTTTCTTTGAGAGATGCCAACCATATCTCTCAGAGAGATGCCAACCATAGAAAACAAACCACAGAGTAAATAAATAAAATTAGATTTTCGGAAAATTGCTGTAAAAATTCTTCAAATTTACACAAATTTGCGAATTTATAAAAAAATATTGCAAATGCTACGTAGAATATTCTTAATTTCAATGTGAAATCTATTCGAAATGGCATCAAAAAAGCTTAGATTTCGTGGCGATGCAACTACAAATCGCATAGATGACATCGGTGGAGATGTTGATGATGATGAACGGAAACTACTGAAGGATGTGGATGCGGCGGTGGCGGCAGAAGTGGTAGATGGTATTCATAAACGTTCTAGTGGGAGTACTAGCAAAGAAAACAGTGATATTAAATCAACCAAAGAGAAAAAGGCAGTAGCCGAAGAGGAGGAAGAGGGTATGTTGACAAAGAAACCTGTTAGAGTTTTCTTTTCTTGGCAGTTGGGTTGGCTGTGGTGGTGTCTGTCTGCCGGCTGCCTGGCTGCTGTGTATTTGGCATAGATTTTTCATTAGAAAAAGAGTAAAGCAAAGGCGTTTTGTTTTTTCTCTCCCCAATCAGAATATCCTTCATTCATGGATTTCTTCAAATTGGAATATATTTTTTGTTGGCTGCCTTTTTGTTGGCTGCCTTCGTGTGTTCTCTATGGCGTGTTTTTGCTGCTGGCAAGTGGCTGACTATGGACGGACGCACAACAAACATTGGAACATGCACGTACTGCGCAATCTCCGGAGCAAAGCGTGTGTGCTCCCCTCCCTTCCCTTTTCAAGAGGTTTTTGTGATTCTTGACTGTTTTGTTTTGCTTTACTCAATCGTGTTTAAAACACAAATCACGTAACATTACTCCAGAATTCCCATGTCCATAAGAAACCAAGCCGAAAAGGAACACTCAATTGGAACCCACAACCGGCAAATTTTGGTAATTCTCCCGTTCTAATTACACAACAACAAATTGCATACTGCACTCTGTCTACTGTTCTCTTTTTTCAAACATTCATCTCTCCGTATTTTATTATTTTTAATATATATTTCGTTTATATGTTTATGTAATTAAATAATTTATTTTATATATACGCAAAATGTGTTAATTTATTGCATCAACCAGATGCCGCCGACGAACAAACCCGACCCTTTTGACAACTTGCGAAATGAATAACAAAAACACAAGTGATGGCAAGCAAATGTCAAATTCCACAATGGCATTGCCTCATCACACAAGGTATTGCCAATTGGAATTTATAAAAATGTCATTTAAGTTAGTTAGTAAAGTAAGACACGTAATGCAATGTTGATAACAATAGCTCCCTTCCGGAAAAGCCAACAATCTTTTGCTTTCAATGCTTTTTAACAATAAAACGAGTGAAAGATGTGTAACTTAATACTTAGTACAACTTTGAGAAGTCTTGGAACTGGAAACTAGTAAAAATGTAAAAAATTGATGAAAATCCTTCAATATGAAAAAAAAACTTTTACATTCTTGTAGTTCTGGAAGAGAGCAAATATTTGCAAAACTAATTTAAAGGTGAGGGTACATAAGCAGCTTGGCATCATGGCTAGGCATATTTATGTCTAATAGTAAAAGGAAAGTAATTTGGAAAAAAATGTAAACATATGATCGCATGAATTTACCTTCTTAATTCTACCATGGAACAGACCAACTGTTATTGAGATTTAATTTAAAATGTAATTGAAGTCAATTTGAGAATTTCTTTTGTAATTCGTAATATTTAAAATGTAATTCGAAATGGAAATTGTAATTATTTATGTTTTAATTGTAATGCGAATAATTGCATTTGTAATTCGAGTTGTTCCATTTGGAATTGGAAACAAAACAAAATCGCAAACATTCTTGCATTGGCTTCATAATTGCGTTTTCGAATTACAAAAATGATTCGATTTGCATGTGAAATAATTCGATTTTCGAAAGGGGTAATTCAAAGAAGAAATAGAAAAAATCGAATTATAAATGAAATTTAAGAATTACAAATTGAATTCTCTACTTTTAACTGAAATTTTACAAATTACATATGAAATTCTCGAACTACAAATGAAATGCCACGAATTCCAGTGATAATATTTCGAACTATATCTGAAAAAGGTGTAGTCCCAGTTCTTTTACCATTTCGGCTGCCATCTTGATTGTAAGAATCTCCGCCTTAAAACTCTGCAATTTTTTGAACCTTATGTGAGTGCTTAATCATTGTGTTTGGTCATGGTAAAATTAAGAAAGTATAGTCATTTCAAATAAGCACACCCATCTCTGCATTTTCTGTAACTTACCTTTTCAAATTTCACCGCATAGAAAAAAGGTTCCCATCTCTGAATTGTGTGTATACAATGGTTTTGTTAATATAAATTTTGACAATAAGATTTTGTCGAAAGAATAATTTTGAAAAAAAAATTGTAATCATATGATCGCATGACTTTACCTTAATGATTCTATCATGGTTCTGGGCATAATACCATCACTGGTACCTTCGTTCCAGCATGGAGCCGTCTGTATATATTTGTACGAGGTTACCTTCTTAATTCTACCATATTGTTTTTTTTTCAAGAACAATATTACCATGGTACAATGAAGACAAGGTAGGCTAACTTTGAAAAAATTGCAAGTATAGAGGTCTACCTGTTTGGCTTGTAATGTCAGAATTACTATCAAAACAATAAAAAAGCAAACGACTTGTTGCATTGATTTTGAATAAATAATTTCAAACCGCGAAAAATGAATGAAAGGTCAAAATTTCTGTTCAAAATCATGTTCTATATATCTCTTATGGTTTATTTCGCGACAAAAACTGTAGATTTTGTCGATGCATACGTTTCAATAAGCATTTTGAAAACACCCAAATTTGAATATTTTCTGAACAATTTTTTATTATTGAAAAAATTACGCACGCATAAACAAATGATGTTGACATATTAAGCCAGAAAAATAAAAAAATTAAAATCATATGGTAGTTCTGCCCTACCTTGAATTCATTGTACCATGAATATTACAATGTCTGAAATTCTATATGCCGACTTTTTAATATTAACAAAATGCTTTTTAATTTTTTTCGAAATCACAAAGAGAAAATCCGCTATCGTAGTAAAAAATTGTAAATAAATTTTTACAATCAAATATAAATGTTTGAAAATGTACAAAAGGTTTCCTGGCTTTTAATTGGTTGGCTCATGATAGAATTAAGAAGGTAAAGTCATGTGTGCTTTCAATTTTTTAAAATTCGTAATATGCACTCCACAAGAATGATATTTGGTATCAGATACATCCCAGAAATACCTCTGCCAAATTTTATCAACATCGGTTCAGGTTTAGATATTGCTCCCATATATATCTTCAATGGATTTCGGGTTATTTGTGCACCAAATGGCCAATATCAGTTCAAATAATATGAATTTTGGCACATACAACCGAATTCAGACTAGAATAAAGTACATCAAATTTGGTGAAAATCGGTTCACATATAGCTTTAGCTCCCATATATATGTTTCATCCGATTTGGTGTTTGAGTCCCTCACATGCGTAATATGCATTCGACAACAATGATATTTGGACCCAGATATCTTATAGATCTCGGAAATACCTTTGCAATTTTATGAAAATCGGTTCAGATTTGGATATAGCTCCCATATATATCCTTAATCCGATTTCAGGTTTATTGTGGCTAATATCAGCCCAAATGGAGTGATTTTCTTGAGGTACGTTTCCAGTATGCGGAACTCGGCTGCGATATATATATTTTTATTAAAAATCTTCAGAAAAAATCTTCTCCAAGTGATATCACGTACTCTATAGCAATGTTATTTGGTATAAAAGATAAAAATGTCTACGTCAAATTTATGAAAATCGGTTCAGAATTGGATATGCCTCCCCAATATTAGTACCGTCTGAAAACAAATTATAGCTGCTTCAAAGCCAAGTGTTAATAGGTGGTATCATGGTACAATAAGGAGGTAGAACAGCTTCGTAAAACTACAGAAATACAGCCCTGAGGATATGCACGCTCCCTGTCAAATTTGCATGCCACAAATTGTTTTAATTTTTTCAATATTTTTTCTCATTTTTAAAATCAGCTAAACAGTGGGAAGAACGAATGAAATGCCTGGATTTACTTTCAAAAATATGATCTAGACATTTCTATCTTTCAATTCAATGGCAAAACTGACGAATAGCTTTAATGCGCGTCTCGCAATTTACGCATCTTCCAATCAATGATTTTGAAAATTTTCTGTTTTTATATGTCTAAACAATAAATACATACACAAAATTTGCAGAAGTCGGGCACACTAAGAAAAAATTGTAGTCAGCTGGTAGCTCTACCTTACCTTTTTATTGTACCATGGGTGGTATGATCCATGGTACAATAAGAAAGTAGCATGGTAGAAGAATATATGTAGACGCATCGACACAGCTGCTGGGACAATGAACTGTCAAACCAATTTTGGGATTGAAAATGTTGAATGAAAAATTATTTAAATTTGTAAAAATTGTTGAAAAACACGTATTATACTAACCTCCGAATGACGTCGTATAAGAAAACAAATAAAAATTTATATATATTTGAAAAGCCATTTAAAAATTTATGACATATCAATGTTCCCAAGCGTTGATGCATCTACCTGTATTTTTCTACCATGGAAAGTAGAACAGCTTCGTAAAACTGGAAAAATACAGCACTGAGGCTATGCCCGCTTCCTGTCAGAATTACTCAAAACTATGTGCAACAAATGGTTTTCATTTATTTGATATTATTTGTCGAATGAGTCGAAAGATGAATGAATGTCTGGATATTCTCTCAAAGAAATTTATTACAAAGAAATTTATTACTTTTAATTCCGACCATATATTTTGTCATTTTCACGCCATTAGAGGGTAGAAAGTCGAGTAAGAATTTAATCTAAAACATTAAACTGAAATATAAGCCTTTTAAGTCATGTATGACTTGATTACGGAATGTTGTTCAATTGTCAATGTTGATGTAGTCCAACTTAGAAATTTCGGTAACATTCTAAATAGACGTGCTTTACTTGAGTGGTGAATAACGTTGACCAAGTACATTGAATTTTAAGTAGTGCTGCAAGGTTCAATTATGCCAGACACAGGTTATTTCCATGGTACAATGAAATAAAGGTAACCACATTTCAATTTAGCATTCCCATCTCTGATTTTATGTGTATACAATGGATTTTTGAATATTGATTTTGACAATGAGATGTTGTCATGTTGAATTTAAAAAAAATTATAACCATATGATTGCAGGACTTTACCTTCTTAGTTCTACCATAGTTATGAAGATCAAAGATGAATTTAATCTAAAACAGAAAACTAAAAAGTTAACCAGGGGCTGGATTCTTGTTCTATGAAAATATGAAATGAAAAATATTTTCTTTATAAATTTTTTCATTTGACATTTCTTTCCTTTATAAAAGTTTTCATTTCACATTTTCACAGAACAAGAATTGAGGCCCAGAACATGACTTTATTGTGGAATGTTGTTCAATTGTCAATCTTGTAATTTTATACGTTCGACATATTTTGGTAGCATTCATATAAATACATGTGTTTTATTTGAGCGGTGAAAAACGTTGACCGAGTACGTTTAATTTTTGGTAATGCTGTAAGGTTTAATTAAGGCCAAACAAACGTTATTTGATTAACTCAAAGCACTGTGTTGCCATTCACAGAAGAGCAACTGATTATGTTTATTGTGAATGAACTATTATTCATTTGAAACAGCTGTTTTTCAATTTTCTTTTCTCTCGTGCTTTCGTATCGAAAACCCTTATCACACAGTTTGTTTTCCAATCTTCGTAAGTCGGCCTTTTTGTTTTGATTCTACATCTTTATCGCCATCTGCCCCGACTCCTATTTTTCTTTGAGAGATGCCAACCATATCTCTCAGAGAGATGCCAACCATAGAAAACAAACCACAGAGTAAATAAATAAAATTAGATTTTCGGAAAATTGCTGTAAAAATTCTTCAAATTTACACAAATTTGCGAATTTATAAAAAAATATTGCAAATGCTACGTAGAATATTCTTAATTTCAATGTGAAATCTATTCGAAATGG